GGACGACGAAAATGGTGTCTACATGGGTATGGATGTTTTGAATTGGCTGTTATAACACCAGTATCTACCAGTATCTAGTGTTGTGATCATGGATTTAGCTGTCATTCTCAGAGGGGCACATTTAACAAGATTAGAACTAATTACAAATTACTTATTGATAGTTTATTTTACAAGGCTAACAATCATGGCCGACGCAAAACACGTACACCTATAAGGACAAAGTAAGGGACCCCATTATTGTAGTAATCCTGAGGAGTGTCAAGTGTTTAGGTTTCGATCGATGTTGCACAAATTAGAGACTGACTACCGGTTGCAATGTCTAGGGATTCTGTAATGAGGCTAATGCAACAAATCGATCCCGAAGGAACTAAGAAACGCCAAGCCACTGATCATCTCAGCGAAGATATGTCTCAAAAGGTCATTACATTGTGTGGCATGTAAATTGTTACGAAATGTTAAAGCCATATGGATTCTGCATTCACGGAGCGATCGACGGGTATAGTCGACGCATTTTATGCCTCGAAGTATCAAACAGCAACAAATCGCCCGCAACGATAGCGTCATACTTCATTAACACATTAAACGAATTAGGCATTTTACAGAAATGTTTGTTCATCGTTCTGGTTTAATTTCAAGTTCAAATGTATGTTTTGAATATATGAAGGATTAAGAAACGCTATATTTTCTTAATCTTTTAACAAAACGTTTAAAATACGTATTTTGTTAACTCTTTATTTTCTATGTTTTATTTCATCTGAGCCATGCTTAAAAACAAACATCGTACACTTTACAGCTTTGGTTTGGAGTTTCTTCAATATAAGGGAAATTTGTTAGAACTAGATTTTATTGGATTTTACCATAAAATTAGAATTTCTTGACCTTTTTGTCTCATGGTATCCCTGAGATCAAAGGAACTTCTTTTTGCTATAAATAGTTGATGTAGACCTACATATATCATTGGTCTTTACCATAAATATTACTTAAACAGAGCTGTAGGTATTAATTATTTATTGAGTGTGCACGGGGGTATGCCATTGACAAGTTCTTGTCGAGATTATGATATTCTTTTTTAAGATAAATGAGATAAGTGTCTTGTATCATGTTTTGCAGTTTACTGTAACTTGAATAAAGTTTTATGTATTGAGAACGGAGTTATCTTTCCTTCTTTTAGCTCTTTCAAAACCGACTTTTTTAAGTTCTAATAAATAAGTTCTAATGTCTAAGTTCTAATGTCTAAGTTCTAATTACTAAGTTCTAATGTCTAAGTTCTAATAACTAAGTTCTAATGTCTAAGTTCTAATGATAAGTTATAATGTCTATGTTCTAAGAACTAAGTTCTAAGTTCTAAGATAGACTTATGCCCCTTTGTCACCTTAGGGAATTGTAGCAAATGGCAATTGTTTTCAATACCATATAAGACAAATGCTTGTCTTTTAATATACTTATACTTATGTCATGATAACCCCAATCAGTAACAAACCGCTGATAATTTCATCAAATATTAATACAGAAGTGCAGTTCGTTAAAATTAAGGCAATGATTATCTTATAAGTGGTCAAAATGATCTTGACCTAGTAGAAATGGAAACACGGAAGGACTGTTCGCTGATGCAAAGTGCACATACATATAATTTGAAATGTAAAATAAACACAGAATTTGGTCGGACAATTTATTGAAGGACGTTCCCTATAAACAGTTATCTTGAAACAGTTCAATAGGTTTTTTCAACAATATTCCTGGCATCATTTAGCACAAAAGATATTATTATTAGACACACAGGTTGAAGGGTCTGAAATTAATAAAGCTTATGTAAAAATTACAATATATAAATAACAATAAAATCAATATATTAATTAATAAATATTATGATTTATTATTAATAATTATGAATGCCAACACGAAACCAAAGTGCATGTTCATTGTAAGTCATTGTAAAAATGTTCCACGATCATCTGTAAAAATTCAAGGTTCGTTAATGGCTGTCAAAAACTTTCCGTTATTCGACGAGAACACTCGAACAAGTTTCTCGGTTACAATGAGGCCCTTTAAGTGATCCATAAAGTTCTGCCATATCTTTATGTCTTCTTGATCAACACGATGACCACAGTTATGCCCACCATAGATTCCAGGTACAAAATGCATTATATCAGGTCTTCCGCAAGGTATTTCAAAATTCTTTTGGGTTTAGCTTGTCATGTGGAGTTCTGCTTGGATCAAATCCATAAACAATATCTTATACATTCCATGTGTACACGATTTGTTATATCCAAACATTGAAATCAATAAGCTCCTTGAAGATACGAAGTAATCCCTACCAGGATTCTAAACGCTGATTTGCTACACTCTTTCCATACATAAAACTGTTCAACCCTGCTACGCTTTATGTGCCGTTAAAGCAGAAAAAATGTTGAAGCAATGCTAGCGTTGAATTTTCAGCTCCTCTAATGTCTCTGCGTAGTATGACACTATCATTGCCGGCGAGTTGTCGCTGTTTTATACTGTTTGAGCCATAAAATGAGTCGACTGTACAGGTCGCTCCGAGGATGCAGAATCAACATGGCTTTAACTTATCGTAACCATTTAGTTGATCAGTTCTAGTCTTGTTAAACGGCCCTTCCGAGAATGACAGCTTAATCTGTGATTACAACACTTGTAACTTGTGTATTAACAAACAGCCTAATTCCAAACCTCCATGCTAATTTAGAGTCCATTTTAATAATCCGGAAAAGGGATAAAGAAGATTCTGCAACAGGAAAAATAATCAAATTATTTTAATACACATTAGAAAACCCACATTTTTTAATTATTATAAACTATTAGAAGCACAATTTCAAATACTGTTTCAAATTTGATAATTGGGGAATACATAAATACAGTCAACAGAAATATCAGTTTTAAAGCTTGTGTCCCTCATCAAAGATTTTTTTGGTAGCCAGGTTCGGTTAAAATAGCTAGAACTGGGTAAAATAGCTACTTATGGAGTTGATTTGTCCCAGCTTGTTGAAGATAGATTGATCGACCTTTGTCTCCTGTTGTTTTTACCCGGTCCTTATATATAATATATAATAACTTAATCTTTTAACGTTCTAGCTATTCTTTAAATTAAAAAAAATAGAATTAAAGAAATATAATAAAAAGTTTATCTCACTTACATCTTCTTGTCTATCTTGCAGTAAATATGGCGTTTTCCCGCATATACGGAACCTCTTGTTCTAAGAACTAAGATCTAAGTTCTAAGATCTAAGTTCTAAGATCTAACATCTAAGTTCTAACTTCTAACTCAAAACGGCCTCAATGGGCTTCCGTAGTGTCTTTAGTTCTAAGCCCATTCCCATTACACCATATACTAACAAGGAAAGCCGCAGGTGACTTTATATCACATTAAAATTATCGATTATTGGTGTTTTCATTACTCATATTCAGTTTTAATTGCTCAGCATGATCAAAACTTGTGATAGTATCTCTACCGATTGCAACAGTACTAACAAAAGTGTAACACTTTGTGTTTACTGCGTAACCACGATCGATGAAGACCTCGCGTAAACACAGATTTTTGTTACTTCGGCGACCTGTACACCTAAAGTATAAGAGTGATAAGAAAAGTTTTACCTTGGTTCGATAGATAAATTATTAGACTACATATTGCATAATTTCTTTTTTTTTCATTCTGTATCGTTTGAAAAAACTGCGAGGAGAAAACTCAGATTGAGCATAGACACATTCTTGTGGGAGTTGTTACCCTTGTTGTGTATATGGATGTAATGGGAATGGACTTAGAATTCATTTTCGACTTAGAATAAATATTTTCTGCTATCAAACACATATTTTGTGAACATTCAATGAGCCGTACTCCTGTGGCGTGAAGTGGACGGCTTATAATTTTGAATGCGGACAGACCTCTGAGCTACTGCATATAAATTTGTTGAACCTTCTTGATTATGTTCGGTTTTAACGTCAGTATCTTCCTTTTATAATATTAATTGTAATTATACAGTATAACACATGCGTCAGTCTAGTAATTAAGTAGTAATTTTGTGCCTTTTCTTTTCATTTTACCATCTAGATGTATACTGCTTTATACATGTATGATCGCACACATACCGACATCACATATTTGCAACATAACCTTTCATTTCTTTGAAACAATTCAGACTGTATTAACTGAATTAATGGACTGATAACATTGGTTTAAAAGACGTGCTAGTATTACGTAATGTGGTGATAAAAGATAGCCAGTACAACTTTGATTATTGCATTTACATCGATGTGACATTCTTGACATATCTAAAAATTAATACATTTTGAGTTTTTCCCTAGACGTTCGGCAGGTTCCGTAATCACGGAAATGTAGGAATGTTATGCAAATGAGATATCCGTCATAACAAAAACTAGTTGTATTTTATACGGATTTCATATTTCTTTAGTCGAAAATATTTCCATCAAAAAACTTATAGTGAAGGTTTATAATATATCGTTATTCTACATACACAAAAACGTCAAAAGAACTGCATTCTTTTAATAAAAACTAAATGGAGAAGTTAAGTTTTATAGGAATTTAAATCAGTTAATTTTAAATGCGACATAAAATATTTATATTAATAATTAAAGTTTCCAAATTCAATTGACAGATAGGTAAAAATACATGTAACCCTAGTTTAACATTATTTGTTCTGTGTAAGTAGTTTAAAACACAAATTAATAAAACAATTGACAGCTTTAAAATCAATATGATTGAATTGAATTGAATCACCCAGCCATTCAAATGTTTTCTACGCCTATTCGAACAAAAACAAAACATGCAAATGCAGTTGGATAAGAGTTTACGTACATGGTAAATGCACCATGCATCATGTATTATTATGTATGCTATTGAAATTAGACCGAAATCCGTTGTAGATTTGCATGCCTATATACATCAAATGCGATTCTCCCCTATTCTCTTTCCAATCAATACACACCTGTAAAAAATACCTTATCTATTATTCAAAATACCATTGTCGTTTCCCGACTTTTAATACCAGATTTTCAATACTCTACTCAGGTACCCAGGTAGTATCACGAGATGTTGTCGTAGTGTTATGTCGCGCGGATGAATATGTGAGCGTCTTTGCTTCTGTTGGATAAACTTGTAAACATGTCTAAAACTTTAGGATTTAAACGTCAAATTATTGTGATTTTAATTTTTATTACCATAGTGACATGTTTGATCAGTATGAAAAAACTTCAATTATTTCGGTATCCGATGCAAAAATATTTAAATATATCTCATAAAGACCACACATTTATCAAGTCTATATTAGGAATGCATATAAAAATAAACGGAAGTGAGGAATTTGGGGAAGTATTACAACAACTCATCAGAAACCATACGATGGGAGTAAATGAGAAACCATCGAATATGACAATAAACATTACAACGCCAGAACAAAACACGAAAAAGCCGGATGAAATAAGAGAAACAGTATGTGAAAAATGTTTTACTCATGATTTTAAATATTTGATAAATAATGAGAAAATATGTAAGATAAATAGCGACAACAACGATACAATAGATTTGTTTATCATGATTTTGACAGTACATAAGAACTTTGAACAACGTGACGTCATTCGCAGAACGTGGCTGTCATATTCCAAGAACAATACTGGTAACGTGCGTTATGCGTTTTTGCTCGGCAAGCCGGCAAATGATGATCTTCACGAAAAAGTTGTTCAGGAAAATAACGTGTACCATGATATAATAAAGGAAGATTTTGTTGATACATATATGAATTTGACTTATAAGACCATAATGGGATTTAAATGGGTAGTGACGTTTTGTCCTAAAGCTAAATATATTCTCAAAACAGACGATGACATGTATATAAATGTACCAAATTTCGTAAATTACGTTAACACATCTGGTGTAGAGTTAGAAAATCATGTTGTCGGATCTTGTGAGAAAATTGCAAGTCCAATTAGGAACACTGATTCTAAATGGTATGCCTCTAAAGAATCATACAAAGAAAGACGGTTTCCTGGTTACTGTTCTGGGACCGGCTACATTACAAGTTTCAATATAGTGAACAAAATATTTGCCATATCCCCTAAAATTCCATTTTTTCATCTGGAGGACATATATGTTGGTCTTTGTTTAAGGAAAATTGGAGGATCTGTAAAAAATAAAGGTGGTTTCAATCGAGGCAGGGTGAAATTAAATGCATGTGTTTATAAAGGTAAAACCATGTTTACGTCACACCAAGTGACGGCAAAACAAATGGAAACTATATGGAACTCTAAGTGTCAATCATAATAAGTCTAGTATCTCGTTGATATTAACATTAATGTTTATTTTTTAATTTGTTCAGACTTAACCACGTGTAAACATGTACTTGAGATGGCGTTAAAATTCGTGGCTGCAATAAGCGGACTAACAGACTCCACGTGATGACTGATATATGTGTCCTTGTTTTCTTGATTTCTTTGTTGTGCATCGTCGTAACAAAATTAATAATACCACTGCTAGAAGTGCTACATGCTCATATATCTTACAGACAATGACACTTTATATACTTGCTTTTCAACTACAGTAAGTTGTTACTATGAAGCTTGACCATTTAAGTGCTAGCTCATTTCCGGTTGTAATCTACATGATCGGAAAATTCAGACATAGTTGGCATTAACATGTCTGATGTCAGTAAAATGATATCATGGAAATTCCTTCTTCGTAAATGTTCTGATATCTCATTCACTTAATGTAGGAAGTGATAATAATAGAGATCTTACCATTTCGTTGCATTTGACATGTTTTTTCTTCCTTTTTTATTTATTTTGTTGTTGTTGTTGTTGGTTTTGCTGTTGTTTTTGCTTTATTTATTTTTAAGTGTATGACATATGACAAGTTTAAGAATATTACTGGGATTAGAGCTGTCGAGCGTACTACGAAAACAATTCAAACATCTTATTCTTATTTTGGTATTGATCTTATCATGTCGCTGATGCTGAACATATTTGTTAAAGGAGAAGAACCATATAAGCAACGCTTTGCTCTCCTTGTTAATATTTCAATGGCAAAAACTGGAATCTCTTTATTTAGAAAATCTATGGGATATTTAATGAATCCACATCAAACCATCGTTAATGTTCAAAATATAGCAAAACATAACGTCTTCTTTAAATATATTTTTATCCGAATATATGTACATGTCTATAACCGGGTCTAGAGATAACCTTTACAATGCCTGCTATATATGATTTGTTTAGTTTTATCAAATAACAAACATGTTTGCTTTTGCACATTATTTATTGCCGCTTGATATAAAAAAACGGGTTATCTAATTGTAAATCAATTTCAATTTGTCGTCTGCGGTACTCAATACTGCCTGTTACTTGTTTTACAGTTTATTTGATAAAATCTTCCTATGAATAACAACCTAAAATAAAGAAATTATTGCTATCAATTAGAAGTACACTGCTTAGGTAACGCATGCTAGATAAATACTTATTAATTTGTAGCATTAATTCCCTGATATTTCAATCAATATCGCCTGCAAATATCGATAAAGCCTCTAGAGGATGACGGTAAATTACTGTAAAAACTTCACATGTACATGTACTTTTACCGATAGACCGCTTTGAGCATGCTTTGTTTACCTGATGAAAGAAAAAGCTTCAAATTTAGGCCTTTATGATTTATTCATTTCTGTGAAGAAGATTTGGAGAAGTAAAGACAAGAGAGAGAGAGAGTACATGCAAAAAGAAATTGAGAAAAAGATGTAGTTGTAAAATCTTAGAACGAAAAGTTTAGCATTGCTAAGAACACGGGACTTTTGTCTTACTCTCTTTTTAATAGTCCGTCATTTCCATAGACCTCTCCTCTATTATAAATAAATCGATACCAATCACAACACTTTGCAATTCTCCGCCATAAACATAAACATAGCCTTACTGTGCTGAATTTTGTATGTTTGTCCAACAATATTGACCCGGCACTTCATTAATTTTCGTAAAGGTCATTTGATAAACACTGGCATCTAACGAATATATCGACATTTTTGTTAATTTTACACGTCAGTGAGGTGTGATAAATTGGTAGAGATGCCGGACTAGTGATCTGAAGGTCTCTGGTCCGATACCAAAATACATCACATCTTGAAGATACGCATTTTTTTATATTTTATTTTGGAATTTACGTGCAAGAATTAATTTGAAATCGTTTTACTACATCTGGTTGTAGGATAGCTTTTGCGTAGTGTTTTTATACAGTTATATGTTTAATTTCATTACATTATCTTTAATAAAAATTACAGCGCGTTTATACACAGACTAAATACACACACAAAAAAGTCAAAACGGTTTGCACAAGTTTTAAGAGAAATTGCAATTTTAAGATAAAAATAAGAAAAGAAATAAAAGTGGCTGAACCAGGATTCAGACATACAAGTTTATGTCTATATTCTTGACGTGAAATACTTTTACAGACAACGCTAAAGGGGGATTCTTAATTTGACCATTTAACATTCGTAATAATTTAAAAGTAGATCGTAATGTTTACAGAATTTACCGACTATATGGTCAAATGCAAGAGTGCCAGGTCAATATTGTTGGACAATACTAGTCTATTTCTTTATATCTGTACAGGTGATTATGCGTATCAATCTGAAACATGATAAATGTATTTCTTTCCATTTTTATATTTTGTATTTTGCCAATTTTGTAATGTTGATATGTATTATTTATATATTTATGTGACTGTTATGGATTATTTATTACAGGACGGTATCTGTCGTAATTATACTTTTTTACTTACACAAGAGTTTGTTTTATTGAAGACCCGCTCTACCAAAGGCATAGCCCGCGACAGTTAGGGTTAGGTTAGGGTTAAGTCAAAGTCTAATTCTCACTTGGACATAATAATTTCTTGAAGAGGAATTTTAATGATATTCTGACAATTGAATCTAATTACCATGACTTATATTGACTCTGCATGAAATTAGTCTCCAAGGACAAATTTACAAATATATGATATAATGCATTAATGACGAAGTTTAAATAAATAATGTATACATGACTATAATTGTCATAAAATATCAAACAACTTCATGCTACATGTTGTTAAAGTATTCGAATATAAGTACAAATAAAAATACAATATAAATATATATAACAGATGTGACGTGGTATAAGAGTTTCTATTAAATCGCTACTTAATGACAATGGTACGAGTATTTTTTATTTGTATGCGTCAATACAAAATCACGCTTTGTTAAAGCTATCAAGTTCTTGTTTCCTTGTCTCTTTGATATTATCCTACGATAATATCATAATTATTATCATATTTCGTATTAGTGTATTGATAAAAGGTATCCGACTACATAATGAAGAACTATAACGTTTTTTAACCATACTGTGATAATTATATATACATATTTGATTTCAATTTCCTCTTCTCTCTGGTATCAAAAGTTACCGGGAATTCAAAATAAAACATTTCGTACTGCTCCACCATCAAGAAAAAAAAACAATGGATATTTAAATTTGTAGAGTGAACTACTGTCAATGTGTTTTTCCTGATTATAACCCGAGAACATATTTAATTTGGACAATGCTATCTTCACGGATTAATGGATGGGCGTAAAAAATCAATGTGTGTGTTCATCGATCGAAATATCATTTACCCTTTATATTACATTATATTACTTCGTAATACGGAATAAATCGGGGGATTTTCTCAAAACATAAATGTGGGAAAATAACGCGAATCAAAGGCGTTATATATCGCGAATAAAGGCGTTATAACGCGAATTGAAAGGCGCAATAACGCCTTTATTCGAATAACGCGAAACAATAGGCGTAATTACGCGAATCAAAAGGCGTAATTACGCGAATAAAGGCGTTATAACGCGTATAAAAAGGCGTAAAAACGCGAATAAAGGCGTTATAACGCGAATTGAAAGGCGTTATAACGCTTTTATTCGCGTAATAACGCGAAACAATAGGCGTAATTACGCGAATCAAAAGGCGTACTAACGCGAATAAAGGCGTTATTACGCAAATCAAAAGGCGTAATAACGCGAACCAAAAGTCGTAATAACGCAAAACAAAAGGCGTTATAACGCTAATTTAATACCATATAAATTAAAAACTGTGGCCTAGTAATGTATGGAAGGAAGAACAATGTTGATTTAAATGAATTGATCTAGATGTACGTTTTATTGTCAATTCAAAACCTCCTAAGGCCACAGTCTGATATCATGAAATGCTTTCGTCAGATTAGAGATTAACTATAGATATTTTTCTAAAAGACAAAGAAGACAATGTCTCCTATAATTATGACTTTACTGAAACACTATCACCCATTTAGGCATACGTATCAATAATTAAGATATACTTTCACCCTAATGTGACTTACTTATACCTTTTTCCAAATCTTGTTACCTATAGCCTATTACCTATAGCGTAATTAGGAACGACATTCACATAATTAGAAGATACTACAGGTTATTAGGTAATCATACAGGATATATCTGAAGATAATTGAACATATGACGCACATATAACATAAGATAAGATAAGATACAAGATAAGATAAGATAAAATAAGAAAAGAAAAGAAATTTATTTACTATAGTGACATGTGTAAAATCAATGATGTGATACATATGAATTCAGAGTAACTGTATTTACGTCCAGTCCAATGAACATATAATTCACCAAGTCACCTTATATTGGCAAATATTAAAGAGTCTTCATTAGTTTATGACAAATAGTTTGCATTATTACTCCGCAAATGGAATGATAGTTATTGTAAATGTAAATTATATTATTCTATACGAGTTTATATCGTGAGCAATAAATTCAGATCAATATTGGTCTTCCTTTCTCTCGTCACTAGGCCATTTGATTAGTATAAATATGGTATAAAATTGGCATTATAATGCGTTTTAATTTGCGTAACTACGCTTTTGGTTCGCGTTACTTCGCCTTTATTCGAGTTACTATGCCTTTTGATTTGCGTCATTACGCCTTTTGTTTCGCGTTATAACGCGAATAAAGACGTTATTACGCCTTTTGATTCGCGTTATAACGCCTTTATTCGCGTTATTACGCCATTTGATTCGCGTTATAACGCCTTTATTCGCGTTATAACGCCTGTATTCGCGTTATTACGCCTTTTGATTCGCGTAATAACGCCTTTATTCGCGTTATTACGCCTTTATTCGCGTTATGACACCTTTTGATTCACGTTATAACGCCTTTTTCGCGTTATTACGCCTTTTGATTCGCGTAATAACGCCTGTATTCGCGTTATTACGCCTTTTGATTCGCGTTATAACGCCTATATTCGCGTTATTACGCCTTTTGATTCGCGTTATAACGCATGTATTCGCGTTATTACGCCTTTTGATTCGCGTAATAACGCCTTTATTCGCGTTATAACGCCTTTGCATTTTTATTTTTTTATTTTATTTGACACTATTAGGCTTTCGTATGTTATAGTATTTATATAACCATCAACACATTAAAGATGGAGACAATATGACCATTATTTATATAAAGACAAAAGAAAACAACAACAAAAATCTAGTTTCTTAATTCATATACTCCATTGCAGTGCTAATTTTTTTAACAAATGATAAAGATGTGATTTTTTCAAGATATACAAGTAAGTGTCGGTACATGGTACTATATAGGCAATACCAAACGTAAATGGCATCACTTCTGTCACTGCTAGCGCCAAGATCATATGTTTAGTATGCAGTTACGCTTCAGTGTGAATTGCACGAAATTTCGAGCGTTAGAATTATACAAACGTCGCCATCTGAATTCACGATAACTTGTGTGTTGATAGCGTGGAAGCTACAGTAACCAGAATAAAATTGTTCTTGCGGCTCATCCATTGGTCACAATAGTTCGTGTGATGTTCCATCTATTGCACCAACTGCGGGATAAGTTTATCCCAGTCAAAACATTTACTGCGGGATACAGTTTATCCCAGTCACCACATTTACTGTGGGATACAGTTTATCCCAGTCACCACATTTACTGCGGGATACAGTTTATCCCAGTCGCTACATTTACTGCGGGATACAGTTTATCCCAGTCACCACATTTACTGCGGGATACAGTTTATCCCAGTCACCACATTTACTGCGGGATACAGTTTATCCCAGTCGCTACATTTACTGCGGGATACAGTTTATCCCAGTCACCACATTTACTGCGGGATACAGTTTATCCCAGTCACTACATTTACTGCGGGATACAGTTTATCCCAGTCGCTACATTTACTGCGGGATACAGTTTATCCCAGTCACTACATTTACTGCGGGATACAGTTTATCCCAGTCACTACATTTACTGCGGGATACAGTTTATCCCAGTCGCTACATTTACTGCGGGATACAGTTTATCCCAGTCACCACATTTACTGCGGGATACAGTTTATCCCAGTCACTACATTTACTGCGGGATACAGTTTATCCCAGTCACTACATTTACTGCGGGATACAGTTTATCCCAGTCACCACATTTACTGCGGGATACAGTTTATCCCAGTCACCACATTTACTGCGGGATACAGTTTATCCCAGTCACTACATTTACTGCGGGATACAGTTTATCATTTACTAAGCCTCTGATGTATGGATGGCCAAGTGATGTAATTCGTAAATATTGTGTAAAATGTACGTATCACTGTGCGAATTTCAACATGTACATACGCGCTGCACACACTGAATAGGGGGGACAGTATTACAATTAAGGGTTGAGTAACATCGTTTCCATATGACAAAACAATTAGATTATGTTTATTTGAGACAGTTTTGTGGCGACTTTAATTTCTAAGTTTATAATATGTAATATGTAACATATCTATTAGTATTTCTGATGTTTTATCAGTTACATTATAGAAATTGTACATATTTTCTGAGAATATTTGGAAAAACGTTTCTTCCGGATAATATAACCGAATCATTTGAAAATAAACGGTACATAGTCTAGAGTTGGCATCATTACGGCAATATGTAGAGCATGTGCACTATTATTGTATGATTCTAACTGAAGCGTTACTACATATTATACATACATTAGTAACATTGATATTTATACAATTATACATACGACGAGGATAGTCTGGGAGGTGATAAAGCTCCACAGCCCGAAAACGGTCAACGTCAGAAAGAATTGCAGGTTGACAACAATAACGAGGAGAGGGTAGTTCTAGACCAAGTTCAACACCCAGTGCTGGCTGTTTTAAATGTTGCAGCAGGTCATTGTAATTAACCGGCACATCGAGGAGGAAAAGGCGCTCCCTAACAAGAGAAAGTAAGTCTCTCTACAGGAAAAAATAAATAGATAAAAGCAAAAAATCCAAAAGATTCAAGCTAGTCTGTGAAATTGGCGTCAGCAGTGACAGCAGTGATGACATTTACGTTTAGTCCTGCTTTTACAACACTTATAATTTGCAAAAATGACATCTTGATTGGTTGAAAATTTAG